CCATCCTCCCGGTCATCGCTGGATGGCTCCCCTTGCAGATGGGGGATATACTCACTGGTACAGTGGGCTGTGAGTCTGGGGGTTTTTGCCACGCGCAGTGGATCAGGAGGCACCCGAGGTGCTGGTGATTGCTGGACCTGTCAGTTGTGCCCATGGTTTGAATATCTGCTATGTCCAATAGCAGCAAGTTGTCCACTTTTCTCTGGAGCCTGGTGAGATAGAGGACTTGAGGCTGCAACAAGTCAGCTAACAAGTGGTGGGGTTAAGATTATGCTGAGCTGAACGTTAAGTCTGGAAGGAGTTGTCCATGTCTGCAGTGCTCCTGTTAGAGCTCTTCTTCACTGAGTTTCCTCTGGGTACAAGTTGGTTCTTATAAGTGACTGTGTGTGTGCGCGTGCAGGTGTTTCTGATGTGCCCCCACATGCTCCCAACAGTTTTTTGTAAATGAAAAGTTAAATCATGGTTTATCAAAACAAAAATGTTTCAGGTGCTTGAGTAAATCTCAAATTTTATTCTTAGTAGGTAGCTTCCTTTCTTTCCACTACTTTTTCTTCTCCTAAATAACTGAAACATGCAGATTATTTTCTAATTTTTTTGTGACTCTTTTTTTTTCACCTGTGAATAGTTTGATGGAGTTAACTGTTGCTTTCCCATTCTTCCAACCTGTTCTTCTCATGTTTTTTTCCCTTCTTGGAGTTACTTTGATAGGAGAAAAGGCATAGTTGACTGATGTGGCTTTGAAAATATCAAGTAAAACAAGTCTAGTTAACTGAGTTGAACTAAAACATGACTACTTGAAAGAAGTTTGAAAAAGATTTTAAAGACCTGTTGATCTGAGCAGAAGGGACTCAGGGAGCTGTAATGCCGTAAGCCAACCTCTGGGATCACCTTCAAGTTGACATCCATCAGCATTTGTAGTGCTGACTGAACCCTGCTCCTTTTAAAGATTTAGGAACCGTAATCCCCTGGCTAGATCAGATGGTAAAGCAGATATTAGAGGTAGATTTTGAAAGGAGTGTTTGGGGGATTTCACTGCATCAGAGTTTTGCAGGGGAGTTGAATGCTCAGTGAAAAACCATTGCAACTTGTATTGCACTGTGAGCATTCAGTCCTTTCTAGCAAATATTCTTCATTTGAGAGTCGAAAAATGTTTTGTTTTCTCCTTTAAACCCTCTCTTGACACACCTTCCGAAGAAGGGGCTTACTGAGAAATCAGACAGGTGTTGCCTGATGGTAGCTGGAGTGTGTATATTGTGGTACTGAATTACCAGCCAGGGTGCCAAGAGTGGGTAATACAGTATGTCTGCACAGGCAGGTGGGGAGAACAGAGCTGCAGGCACTGGAATGTTTTCATCTTTCCTTTTAAAACATATTATTAAGCAAAAAGCTACATTCACAACAGGCAGTACTCGAACCCCAAAGAAAAGTCTGAGCTAAAAACTCTTTCCTCTCCCTCTTGAACAGAGGATATGTTGCCAGTCAGCTCTTTTGTTTTAAAGGACATTCAGGTCTCTGTCTGGTGGAAGTGGTGTTTGCACTCCTCAGGCTGTTGGCACAACTTTTGTTCCTACTGCTGGATAATTGTCTTGTTAACTGATAGGCTTGTTTGTTGGGTCAAGCTCATTTTTTATATTTGTACTCCAAATTAATTTAGTTTTCCTTAAGTGTGTTGATTAATAGTCATGCTTTGGATTTCTGGGAATTTCTCATCTCCTGATCTTACCCCTCACTCAGCGAGTGTCTATCAGTTCACAAATCAAAACAGTGGCAGGGGGACACCTCCTGCAAGGTGGGGTTGTTTGGGACCACTGAGGAGCAGCGAGAGGGGCTGATCCTTGCTTGCAGAAACTGAGTGCACAGACAGCTTCTGCCTCGGGATTTTTTTTCTGAAGCGCATTTGCTTTGAAATCTATATACAATATCCTGTCTTGCTCTGGATACAGCGATTATCACTGATCCAGTACGAAGTTGTTTGCATCTATTTATGCCAGTAAGTGGCTGTGCATCAGGTTACCCGTGGTTGCAGCAAAGTTGGCAGGGTGGGAAACTCGAGCCCCTTACTGTCTGACAGCAGGTACCCCGTGGACAGATTTACACCAGTGTTAAATGACTGCCCGTTCAGTGATTACACGCTTGCAGGCGGCTGTGCCTGGGGTAGATGTGAAATAATGGCTCTATGCCATGTCTTCAGGCCCTGTGCAGTGCCTGTGAGGCTTGAACTCCTTGCAGTTGGGTGACAAAGGTGGCTCAGCCCTCCTACTGTCTCGTTTTCCTCTGCTGGGCACTGCTGCTTGCATCGCCATGCCCTGACCATGTCCTGAAACAAGAGGTGAGGCTCCTGGTTAGCCTCCTTTTCTGACATGCCAAGTTCAAGATGTTGGCCAGAACCTGCAGCTCTTTAGTTTACCTTGTGTTTTGGGAACGTATATATATATTTCTTTGTTGGACAAGCTTGTTCATTAGCTCTCAGCTTTTTGCTTTCTGTGAAATTAAACTGCGGGTCCAATGCTTCCCTTGGTGGTTGTAGCCAAAGGGGCCTGACAGTAGGGATGCCAATGGGTAGATGAGGAGCAGATCCCTTTCTCTGCTGGTGGAGGGCCATGCTGTTTGATCAGGAGCTTCAGTATTTATGCTGGTGCGGGCTAACTCACTGTCCTTCTGAAAGCAGTGATTTTTATTTTCCTCCTTCTTTGTAACCCCAGCTTTCTGTCTTTGAAGATATTATACATAAAATTACAGTCAACACCACTAGTCCTACTTGGTGACCGAGGGGTGTGTATCTCTTTCCATTTGTTCAATTCTCCAGATGCCTGCAGACATGGACACGTTGGCTCCTGGCGTGTGCTGTGCCCTCTGTGCATCATTGCTCTTCCGTATTTGTGCTTTCATTTCAGCCCATCACCTTTGGGTGCCCAATTTCTTTACACTTCAGTGATGTTAAGGCATCCAAGTGATTAGTTGGCTTTTTGAGATTTTTGAGGCTTTCTGTCCTTGAAACCATCACAATGCTATGAGCAAACTGATGTATTGAAGGAAACAATGCTCTACAGATTTTCTTCCTCTTTCACGTATAAGGGATTCTTCTTCTACCTCTTCAGATGAAAAGACAAGATGGTGAGCTCACTCTTACCTTCAGTAAGGAATTGCTTTTTAATTAAAAAACAATAAGGAATTTCAGGTTTAAAAGATGTACGATATAAATCACCATCTAGATCTGTTTCGCAACTTTTTTTGTAATTGTTTGGCATGTTCCCTGTTTCCGCGGGCTGGGTAAATCCTTTGTGGGTTTAATCTCTAGCCTGCAGGCACATAAAATACATTGCACAATTTGGCCTTTGCATTTTAAAGAAATCTTTTTTCATAGCTTAAATATATGTAGCATCTTCTTTGCCACATGGCAGGATGGTGTTGAGTGAGGAGGGAAGGGACTGGCTTGGCTTATATTTAATCCCCTCTCCTACCCAGAGTCTCTCCCAAATTTGGTTTTTCCTGTGTTAACCATGCGTACACCACTTTGAAATGCAAATAATCCCTGAATATCACTAACTAATCCTTTTGCTGCCACGTCAGCCACCACCCATCCATGCACACGCTGGCTTTTCCCATCCCAATGGGGTGGATGGCCCAGTCGTGCTCTTGACCAGTATGAACCTGTTGCTGCTCTATTTGAACAGTTGGGAAAGGGACTGTAGTGGCCCATGGCTGCTAAAGACCTTTTTTTGTGAAAAAAAAAAAAACCAAACAACCAAAACTACCTTGGGGCTTTCACTTTTCTTTCTCTGCAAGAACTGAGGAGATGGAAATGGGAAAATGCCAGCAATTCCTGTGGGTTACATTGTTAGAGTTACTGGGAGAGCTCTGCACTCCTCAATTCTGAGCACCAGGAGAAAACCGAATATCTCTGGAGTGGGGTACTGAAAAAAACTGCCATATTTTGGAACAACCTTGTAGAGCAGGGAAGACTGGACAGTCTCCTTCATGGGAGACATCCAGGAAAATGGGTTCAGGTTATGCAGTACTGAACCAATTAAGAGTTCCCTTGCAATTCTCCTACTAAAGCACATGCCTTTATTTCATTGAGGGGTTTTGAAAAGAAACCAACAACCTCAGCCTTGATGTGTTGCTGAATAAAGGTTTCCAGATGTGAACACACTTCAGGGAAACACTGTTTCAGTGTTACTGTTTTAGTAGAACACATCTTAAGAGAAACCTACTATGCTCCAAAAGAGCACAGTGAGCAGTGTTCCAGGTGTTCATTGCATGGACACAGCCTCCCTTGTGGAGCCAGCTGCAGAGTTTTGCTCTAGGTCTCGCCATTGACCTAGTTTCTGGGTTGTTCAGCTCTTCTGGTCTTTGAATATTCAAAACCAAAAAAATTGTATTTTTAAAACCTCTTTTGTGGACGTAATGCTTTGAGTTTAGATGTGAGGAGATTGCTACAGAGGTACTCAGTAGATATATGAAATACTTTTAGAAGATGACTGAAATGTCAGATTTGGTACAACTCCCAGATTGGTCAATCTTGCTTTCAAGTACTGTTCAGTCCCAAGGTTCATGTTTTTATTTCATCTCTCTGCAAAAGTAGGAGGGTTTCTTCGAAAACAGTATAAAACACTTTACCTGTGTGGTTTCCAGTGCTTCCAAGATTACAGGGTGCTGTGAAAAGAGTAGCATCTGTTTTGTTAGGTGGGTAATGGATGTCCCTTGGAAGAGAAGAGGTGTGCCCAAGAAAAGTAAAGACTTCATGTGTTTGTGAGAAGGAATTGCTCTTTATTTGAAGTTTTTGCCTTTGGGAAAACTAGGATGTAGATTTATTCTCTGTTGTTTTGAAACAGGTAAAGGTCTAGGGATTTTATCACTTGTCTGGAAGTGTGGCTTTTGTGCAGACAAATGCAATGCATTGGTGCTTTCAGTTACATGTGCAAACCCATCCTCATCCTTCTGGTCTACCTCTATCTCTAGGTGACCTTCCTGACTCTCTTGGTCTTTTCACCTTTCAGTATTCCACCGAACTGAAAAAGCTGTACTGCCAGATTGCCAAGACATGTCCCATCCAGATCAAAGTGATGACCCCACCACCTCAGGGAGCCGTCATCAGGGCTATGCCAGTCTACAAGAAAGCTGAACATGTCACTGAAGTGGTCAAACGCTGCCCGAACCACGAGCTGAGCCGGGAGTTCAATGAGGGTAAGGAGGGCAGTGCTTTGCTGGCAGTCCCTCTCCAGAGCTGCTCAGCTGATGAGTGGCCAGTGCAGGGATTTGACAGCAGCTTCACAGCAAACCTTCTGGAAACAGACTTCCCTCCCTCTTGTGCAGCTTTTTATTTCCTATGCTTAGCAGGAAGCGTCATACAATACTTTAGCTGTCCCTGTGCAAGCATGTCCTTGGGAAGAAAGTACTGAAATAAACCCCATGCCTGCCCGGGTTGGATGGATGTCTGTCCCCATGGCAGGCAGTGTTCCTCTGGCAGCCTTTCCCTGCTCTGCTTTTGCCCCTGCAATGAGAAGCAGCTGTTCCTGTGCTCAGGAATGAGCTTCCATGTCACTGGGACAGGGATCTAGTAACAGGATGCAATATCATCTCTAGTCCTTAATCCACGCCTCAAAGACAGAGGGGCTGTTTATCTCTAGCAGGACAACACAAAGTGTCAGTATCAACTGTAGGCAACCGTCCTGTACACTCGCCACTGTCGGTTCATTATTAATGTTTTAATCTTTTACTTGCTTCTCCTCATGTTAGTGAAGTAGCAGCTGTTTTTAAAATGTCCTGGGATTCTCTGCAAACTCGTGGACTGGGTTCCATTTTGCCTTGGCCACTTAAGTTCACATAAGTTCACATGAGCATCTGTTTTATTCTACATGCATAATTTATCTCCTACTGTAAAAAAAAACATGTTCGTGTCAGTTAGCAGGATGTCTTAGGAGCCTGGATCCCATTGCTGGTTACAGTGCAGCCAGCTAGACAAGCCTGAAAAATAAGCAATGAGTTGGGAGTGTAAAATCAGTGAGACAGTTCTTCAGAACAATTTTTCGTATTAGAAAGTGCTTTTCTGACAGAACTGGATTTTTTGAGTGTTGATACCCTTCAATAATATTAAGAAAGAAAAAATTGAAACTATGAATTCTCATTCTGAAATAGTTATTCTCTAGAAATAAGCTGTATTTTGAGTAGGAAATGAATAGTTAATACACAAAACAAATTCTTGAGATGAACCCATAGTAGGCTTCTTTCCTCAGAATTTAGTTGTCTGTTGTAGAAACACTAAAGAAAACTTGCAGAAAGGAAACTTTGAATTATTGGAAGGTGGCCTAGGAACCAAGATCATGTTCCCTTCTGCTGCTGTAGGCAAGCAAGATTTTTCAAGCTGTTAACAAAATGCATGTCTCTCTTGCTTCTTGAATCCTTTTTAGCTCTTAGGATCAAGACTGATTGGAGGGAGCAGAAGAGGGCTAGAAATTGATGGGGAAAAGAGTAGGAATTGCAACTTGAAGGATTTTGCTTTATGTATGCATTAGAGAGAGGAAAAGAAAGGCTTTCAGCTGTGTGAAAATCCACACGAATTATGTGCTGGAAGAGGTGCTGTTGACATTTGGGCTTGCTTAGTCTGGGATCTTGGGAGGCCCTTGTTCAAGTTTAGTCACAGGTGCCCAGAGTGAGCTTGAGAAAGTCCGTGTTGCCTTTGGTGTCTGGTATAAGGCACCTTGGGAAGGGATGCTTTAAGGGCTGGGAGGCAACGTGTGTGCTCTGATAGACCTCTGGGGCCAGGAGTTCCTTTAATGAAAGGTCTTGCCACCCTGTGCGTGATCTTGCTTCACTGAACAGTGTCTCTTGCTTTTTTCCTCCTTGCCCTTGCAGGACAGATTGCACCTCCCAGCCACCTGATCAGGGTGGAAGGGAACAGCCATGCCCAGTACGTAGAAGACCCCATCACCGGGAGGCAGAGTGTGCTGGTCCCCTACGAGCCACCCCAGGTATGTTGTGAGATCAGGGTGTCCTGGCACAAGAAGGGATGGGGATTGTAAGCCTAGTCAGAGGAGTTGGGATCTTGTGCTTTCCCCATCCTCATCACAATGAATCCCTTCTTCCTCTTTGTCAGAAACGAGCTATTAAACACCCTCTTTATCCCTTGAGGGGCAGGAGTTCTTCATTTCCTTTAAGGAAGATTGTAGTGGGGGCCTTTCTCACGCAAGTCCAGTTGCAACTTGGGAAATAAAAGAGGAGAGCTTGGAAAAAAGCAGAGCTTTCCATCCACCATCTCTTGTGCTCATCCCCTTTGTCTTATCCAGGTCGGTACTGAGTTCACGACAGTCTTGTACAACTTCATGTGTAACAGTAGCTGCGTTGGAGGGATGAACCGTCGCCCAATCCTTATCATTGTGACACTGGAAACAAGAGAGTAAGTAGTGTATCATGTGTGTAAACCTTTGCTGGAGAGGTGGCCTTCTGGCTCCTCTTCCAGTCAAGGCAGTATTCCACATCCTTAGGAACAGTTTGATTCAAGGGGCTGTGGGATATTTTTTAGATCTTTGCAGGTGGGAGTTGCCCAACTTCTGGGAAATCCTGACTGGGAAATGGGAGGTTCGGGTCCATCTGCATAGCCTGGTAGGAAGCTGAGGGGTGCTGCTGGCCTGCATCCAAGATGCCAGCTGATGTTTCTTCTCACCTCTCTTCCCAGCGGGCAAGTCTTGGGCCGCCGGTGCTTCGAAGCCCGTATTTGCGCTTGCCCAGGCAGAGACCGCAAAGCAGACGAGGACAGCATCCGCAAGCAGCAAGTCTCTGACAGCACAAAGAATGGTGATGGTACGAAGCGCCGTAAGTAGCTGGCAGAGCTGGGCAGATTGCAAATTGTGCTGTCACTGGGTGCGGTGTGTCCCCGGTGCTTGTGCTGCAGGGACAGGGTGGCGCTGTGCACAGGCTTGGGGGCAAGAGGACATGAAATGTCTGTTCTCCAGGGGTGAATCAGCCTAAAATAGGAGCTGGTGTTCACAATACAGTGTTTGACAAGCTGGGTTCGTGGGCTTTCTTACAGCACTGCCAGTGGTGCCTGGGGGGATGTTTATTTGCCACCTTCCAATTATATGCCTGGAACTCAGCTTTTTGAACCTTTACTGCTTGTTTGGGGCTGTGCTGTTATTCTCTGCTTCATTTAGCCAATGTCTTGTGCTGTGGCATGTGTCTTCCAACCACAGGGATCTAGATTAAGGCTATACATAAACCCTGCTGTGCATCAGAGGTGCTCAGGCAAGCAGCCTCTCTCTGTGCTCTAAAGAGTGCAAAGTACTCATTGGACAGGCAGGATGTGGAAATCCAGCTTTGGTTTCCCATATACCCTCAGTGATGGCACTAGGCTGAACAGCAAGGCAGATTGGATTGTGGCTTTGTTTTCTCAGTGAATACTGCATGTTCCTTGCCTGTTGTCTTATTTTGTGGATCAGTGATTCACCAACAGCTCGAGGGCACTGTAATGCCAAAACTCACAACCTTTCCTGTAAAGTTCTCAACGTGGCTTGCTGGGGTTTTGTCTTATGTCTAGTGCTCTTTGGCTGATGTGTTTCCCCAAATGGTGTGGCCAACCAACATCTGCAGTCATGTCTGCCTTACGGAGCCAGGAGAGCTTGCAAACACAGTTCTGGACTGGCTCAGAGATTCTTTCAGAGCACTACAGATCTGAGCTGGCCATGCACTTCATGTCTCTTTTGTATCTCTTTTTGCCTTCTTCCTCATACCTTCCTTCCCCTCCCCTTTTTTTTTTTTTTTTTTTTTTTAATGGGATGATTTTGGGGTTTCTCTTCCAGCGTTTCGACAAGGAACTCATGGCATACAGATGACATCTATCAAAAAGAGACGTTCCCCAGATGATGAGCTCTTATACTTGCCAGTGAGTTCTCAGTATCTTTGCATTTACCTTATGTTTAGTATCTTTCTTGGTGACTTGAGACTCACCTAGACTTCAGAGAGAACTGATGATGGGACTGGGATGTGGAAGAATAATTTCTATTTTTTTTTAATACCAAGAGCTACTGATTTTAAATACATATAATAAAGGAACACTAAAAATCCTGTTAGCTGATGACAAAGAGTGGCTTGTGCAATGCATATGAGAATATCCCAAGGGATCTCTCTGTTCTGGTGGAAACACTGTCTTTGAGATCTAACTAGGTTTCCTCCTCCCTCATTTCTGGGTCTGTGGCACATGACTTTTCTCTAGAAATACTGGGTGTTATCTTACTGATAGGTGGATGCTTCTGTGGCTTTTATATGTGTTACCATTGTAATGTAGTGATAGAAGTGATAGTAAGTATAGGATCAGAAAGGACAAGAATCATCTGTAATACGCCATTTAGCTGAGCCATGTTTAGTTGGATTAATCACAAACCACAGTGTGCTTAGAAGAAAAGGGAAATCCAAACCAGCTCCCAAATTCAAGTGCTCTCTTTTCTCAAGGCATATAAGGTTCAGCACCAGGTCTGCTTACATCTGAGACAGGTAAAGACATTTTCTGTCTAAATAGATTGAGTCAGAAAGTTGCTTTGGGTTGTCGTGGATTTACACTGAGCCATGACAACCCCAAGATGTTCATCAACCTGCAGTGTGAGATTATCACTGTTCAGCATTATGTGCTGTATCCCCAATACAAGGCTTAGCAGTTTCTTTGTGTATGCATATTGTATGAACAGAACATTTGCATCCTGCTCTTCTTTACTTGAATTTATCTAAAACTCACTAAGGTGGCTGTCACTAAGGAGTATAGATGCAGTCTTTTTTAAGCTTTTCTTCCCCCACCACCTTTCCTTTTCCCATGATGCAGGTGAGGGGACGGGAGACGTATGAAATGCTGCTAAAGATCAAAGAGTCCCTGGAGCTGATGCAGTACCTTCCCCAGCACACGATTGAGACCTACCGGCAGCAGCAGCAACAGCAGCACCAGCACTTGCTCCAGAAGCAGTGAGTATGAGAGTGCTTGCAGTGGTCAGTGCAGTGGGGAAGGGGGAGAGAGGAGAGAGAGACACAGAAGGCTTCTGCACAGTTGTTCATAGGGACATGGTACTCAAATGAGGGCTAAGCAATGGGACAAAGCAGTCCTCCTTCCCCAGGTACATGTCCTGATTGGTTTCAAGGTCCCTTTTTAGTCTCATGTCCCACACATTTCAGCTTTTGGCCTCAGAGGGTGATTGAGGACAGGCTCAGTTCCTCATTTCTGACTTCCAGCCAGAACCCAAGGGGCAACACAGAAAGGCAGAGCCATGGACAGCCTGTGGTGAGAAACCCGCTGTGTGTGCCTGCCCTAGCTGGGGAGCACAGGCTGAGTGCACTGCTCTTTCTTCTGCTCCGGAGAAACGGCAGCAAACATGGAGCCATCTCCCCATCTAGGGGTATCCCTCTGAGCATCTTGCCAAAGTGTGTAGAACTGGGACTGTGAGCTCTGGCTCAGCTGAGTGCCTGGATCCCACTGCTGTGAATCTCTGGTGTGCTGGAGGGCTAGTGTCTCAGTGGGATAACAATACTTCAGGTTGCTCAGCTATAAAACAGGAAGCTGAAAGTCAAGAACAAGGTTGAAACATGTAAGATTTCCTTTGTGACCCGTGGTCACTTCAAAGAAAGACTCTACAAATGCAGTTTTAAAGTGTTATCTTTATTATATGTTATATATTATTATATGTATATGTGTTATATGTTACTTTGCCAACTGACTCTCCATGTTGCTCATGAGAAATTTTCCATCTGGGCAGGTGTAGGCCCTTTCTGAACTCAGCTGACAGGGCTGCACTGGTATTGATTTGGGTGGTGCCAAGAAGATGGGGAGAAGAAGGGCCAAATAAGTGTCTGGTTTCCATATTCCTCTCAGTTCCCAGAGCTTTGCAGTTACAGAGGCCAGGTTCAGAGAATGACTTCCCAGACAGGCTGTAAGCAGTGTCATTCATGGGCATTGCTTCACCTGCTGTCTCGGGTGACACAGAATAGCTGCCCGGGCTGTAGGTGGCTGCCAGCAGTAGTGCTTAGGATCTCGCGCGTTCCTGCTGGAGAGCTCTCACGTCAGGAGGCTGTGGGTATAACTCGTTCCCCTGCAGAGGTTAGCAAGAGGCCAAGGCACCACATAAGTCCCACTTGAGCCTGTAGGGATTTATTTTGGGGCCTTGGCCTTGTCTCAGGACTTCTGCAATACCGCAGCTTTCAGCCAGATCTCTGCGTGTGTTCGCATTTCGGCCTGTGTGTTTTTAGTGTCAGCTGGAGTCTTGTGGAGGTGTGAAAAAAGGCTTGTGCCAAAATGGCTGGAGCATCCAGGGCCTCTGGACTCCTTTTTTTGGGGCACTTAAAAATCTCATTATTATTATTACTTACTTTTATCAGTCATCTACACTGTTTGTATATACTATAGCTTGTATTTACTAGCTTCTAGGCATTGTGGCCTTTGTGCGCTCTTCTGCTTGTCTTCAAAGCTCCACCTGAACCACAGCCATTTCAACTGAGAAATAGTTTTGTAAGCAGAAATGGACAGCAGCAGATGACAGCTTTTGCTTGGTGCTGACAGTTGGCTTTGCCATAATTACTGTTTTCATTCTTCCTATATCAGGAGGATGGGTTCCTGGCAACGGAGGTTGGTATTTGTGTTACCTTTAAGACCAGCGTGTAGAAGTCCAGCTATTTAATTTAATGAGATCATTCAGCATGTCTCCTGGCACTTGTCCCATTATTAACTCGTTTTTCTCAGTTGCTGAGTGTTCTCAGATACAAGGGAGAAAGATTAAGAGCTTTTAAGGATGCCAGGAGTGAGGAGAAAAATAACTTTCAGTGTTTGTCCATAGCTGCTGCAGTTGTCTCTTCCAGTAGCCTGCCATCAAGCAGGGTCCTCTGTGCTGAAATGCATGTTCAGGCAATAGTTTCTTAGGTGCACTTGGGTTTTGGTGCTTTTTCCTCAATAATCCCGGGTTTGACTTAATATCTGAAGGAATTTGTTCAGGGCGAAGGGATTTTTAGGCTAGATGCATTTGCAACTCAAAAAAGAATCATAAAGTAGTTTCAGGTCTTGATGTGAAACTGGGGAGAGCAGATACTTTGTAGGGAATGGTTTGGATAAGAGCAGCCTGCATGCAAGAAGGTTGCTGGGAGATGTCTTGCCACTGCTTCCCTGTCAGGCTGGCCAAACTCAGCAGCACAGAGACTCCTTGGTGAGTCTGTTCTGGCCTTTCATTTTGTAAGTAGGGGTGTACTTCCAAAATTCAGGCTCAGTTCACCTTAGTTCAACACATATGTGAAAAGTGGAAGCTAGGAAAGTGTATTATACAATGACTAGGTTTGAGTGTGTTGGAAGCAGGGTGGGTCCCAGCAGGGCTCTGGGGGACTGGAATGTTTGCAAGTTGCCTTGACTGCTCTACAGTCAAGCCTTGATGGAGAAATTGCTTGATTTTTTTCAGTTTACTTTTCTGGGCAACGATGAACATAGAGAAGCTATCTATGTGTGTGGGAAGAATTGTCCCTTTCATTCCTACTTGGAAAACTTCATCTTTTTGGACAAGTAGGAAAAGCAAGGATGAGGTTATAATAACTACCTATAAAGGTAGTTTTAAAATTGTAAATCTGTCATTTTGGAAAACAACTGTATAATTGATCTCATATACATACAGACCAGTATTGCTTTGACAGGCCAGCAGATGCAGCTATCTGACTGTTCTGGAATAAAAAGGACAAATCTGGTGACAATCAGAAATCTCACATCCCACAAGATGACCAAAATACTGTAGTGTTCTGTGTTGTGACAGACTACAATATTTCTCTGTCTCATCTCCTCTCTCTGCTTGCTCCTTTGTGCATGGTTTTCTCTTATTTACTGTTATGCCAAATACCTTCATGATCATTGGTGGGAAGCTGTTGGGGCTTTTTCCCTGTAGTTTGTGTTCTTCCTTTTTCACTGCCAAATCCTGGGGCCCATGTTTGAGCTGCAGCACACATTTAGAACTATGACGTCCTTTTCATGGTCTGCCACCATTTGTGTAAAACATAGATTTGCCAGCTAATCACTGCTGAGAAAGAGGGCTTTTATGTCCAAGTGGGATCTTGTATCCCAGCAAACATTTCTTTCATATCAGCAGGGCTGCAACTACCAGCCCACTGGCTGCCTTTCGATCTCGTGAGCAGCACAGCTCATTATCCAAATGAGAAGGAGTTAACCTCGTAAGTGAGGTGTGACAGAGTTTAGTTATCCAGTGCCTGGAGTGCTCCACCTGAGCTGGGAGCTGCAAGGATCCCACTGCTTGGTGTCTCAGGGAGGGGGCTGGTGGGGAAGGTGTTCTTCATACTTGCACCTAGTTAATCTCATTTTTGCAGTGAAATCTAATAATGGATTTTTGCATGTTTTGGTTTGGTTTTGCAGTGCTATGCTTGCATGTGAACTCCAGGCACTTGGATAGTGTTCTAACTAGAGAATTGCCAAGATGAAAGTACCCAAGTAAAAGTGCTTTGTGGGCTCCAAAGATACAGTGCCCTCTGCATCAGCTTGTGGCCCAGGGGAGTAGTTGAGCTGTAATCAGTATGGGCAATAGGCACCATCCTCTCTCCCTAGCACCAGCCTCTGGTTTTGAAGTGATTTGTAGTTAAATGTGGACTCAGTGGAAGCTGCTACTCCTTTTCCCCTTTGGTTGAATGCTTTTGTTCCTCTTTTGTCAGTGGGAACATTATCAGGGCATTATTTGTATCCATGAGATTAGGACACAGAATTGGATTTCCCTATCAACTAGTTGTTTTCCCTTCCTTGCCAAGCACTCACTTGTGCCTGGGGCTTTCCAGCTTCCTAAATCTCCCTGTCACATACCCTCATTGTAGGTGCTAAGACATCTGCTTTTCCCCTCCTTCAAACCCATACTGTGATCATGAAGGTGGAAAGTGACTGTTTCTCTCTTGGTGGCTGGTGAAGGGTCTTGTACATTCATCTTTTTCTTTTCTCTGGTTCCTTCTTTACAGTCTCCTTTCGGCCTGCTTCAGGAATGAACTCACGGACTCAAGGAGAGACCCTCCCAAACAGACCGATGCCATCCTAAAACATTCCAACCCCCCTAACTCATCAGTATATCCATAAACCGAGCTGGCAGGGTCACTTTGCCCAGCCGGTGGGACTAGAAACAGTGGGGCAAATACACAGCCTGATAGCAGCAGAGTGAATAGTGAGAGTAATCTTCTGAAGGGACTCAAACTTTGCAAAAACAACAGACACTTCTACAGACCTCTTACCTGTAACTCATAGCATTGGGAGGTCAGGAACCATGATGTTGTCTGTCTTGCTGTAACTTTTTTCCTGTTTTTGTAATGTGTCGATATTCTTTCTTCTTACTTCTGTATTTGTGAAACTCAGCAGGGTTTCTCTGAGCAGGTCTCAATTTTAAAATGCCTTTTGTCATGTTTAAGTTAAAAAATGTGTTCATGGACTGGGGGGACAGAAGCAGGGGATGTGTGTTTAAATGGTCTGTGATAGTTTGGCCTGTTTTAATGCTGGTCATGCACTAATGGTGCAAGCAGCTGATGTATTTGTACTGCTGGACAGGGAGAGTTAATTATATGAATTGGCACTGCTAAGAAATAATTTTTTTTTCCACTGATTTAGCATCATTAATTGTTTCCCCTTATTTTTAACCTTAAAAAGGATCTGATCTAAAATACATCAAAATTGTAAGGAAGACTGGGTGACTTTGACTTTGCACCAGACCTGCTGGCATTGATCCACCTTTACTGAACTTAGGAAGCTTGCTCCTGAGTCTGTGGGCTCGATCCAAGTGGTGGGCTGAGCTGCACAAGTTGAATGTGAGGTTGAAGCGTAATTACAGCCATATATGCTCAATGTCCTTGTCTCTTTGCAACTGAGGGTGTAAAGGGCAGAGTGTCCAAAACTGCTCATTGCCCTACCTGTGAAAAGGGGTCAGAGTTTAGCCCCTTTCCTTACACACGTTTAGCAGTTA